AGAACATGAACTAAAGGTGATTATTGACAAATTTATCGTCTGAAACATTTTGTTTATCAACTAAGCAACGACAATTTCCGTATTTTCGTTTGAGATACATTTCTTTAAAAAAAACTGTGTCGCCAAATATAAAAAAATTTCGTGTTCACAATAATTAAACTTCAGGATTTATTCTACAATTTGAGTGGGTTAAGAAGCTTAACTTTTCGAGAGTTTTCTTAACTTTTTAGTTTGAATTTTTGTTTTGAATAATTTTGCAAAAATTTTCGAAGTCGTGTCCGTTAAAATCAACAATTTTTTACATGAATTATATTTCATTCCATACTTTAAATGCCAGGACGCTTTCAATTAATGTCTAGTCTACCTATTTGCTATATTTTCTCGTTTGTTTTACTAATTTTTGACCAATTAATAAGCATGTTTTTGTTTTAGAAATTGATATTCAAATTTCCCGCCATATTTTCATAATTTGGTGCATGCGCAGACGTTTTTCCGCGGTGTTGATTTGATATGACATCTCATACAAATAGGTCATTACTTAAAGTGACGTGATTAATTTTCACCCAGCCAAAGGACAATCTCGTATCCAGAGCAATGCCTGTGCGCAGCTAGGAAGGCATTGGCTCTGGGGATTAGACCTTTCCCCTTATGAGTGAAATTTTGATCTAGACAAGCCTGCACAAAAATTTCATCACAGCTTGAAAGAGCATCACAAAATTAGCAATATTCCGAAGTTTCGTTGCGAAATGTTCTAAAATGCGGATAAAATAGCCTTGCGAAGTTTGCCGTTTTTCAGTCATTCTGTATTACAAATGGGAAATTGATAATCAGTTTGATCATCTGATTACCAATTTCCCGTTTGCAATGCAAAATGACTGAAAAATGGCAAACTTCGCAAGGCTATATTATCCGCATTTTACAACATTTCGCAACGAAACTTCGGAATATTACTAATTTTGTGATGCTCTTTCAAGCTGTGATGAGATTTTTGTCCAGACTCGTCTAGATCAAAATTTCACTCAAAAGGAGAAAGGTCTATTGACAACCGGAAGCCGATACATTATGCAGAAGTATTTTTTTGATCAGTCGAAGTCAACATCAATTCAAAACTTTGTTTGGTACCGGTATGAGTAGGTGTATTTCCTCTGGAGCCGATATTCCATCGATCCTTATACAGTTTCAGAGTTTTCTTGTTGAACAGGAACGCCATTCCTACATACAATCCTTGTAAACAAACAAAAACAACAAACAAATATTCGAACTCTTCTACATCGGGAAACAGCACGCCAATGAATGCAAACAGCCAGGGAAAACCGACCAAAGTTGCAAGTTTTGTGCAGATGAGAAGATTCTGTTTTCCTTCTTTGCGTTGTAAGATCTCTCTGTCCTTAGCATGACGAGATAAACTGACTGCTGTTTGGATAAATTTGTAGATATTATACAGTAGTAATACTGCCAGGGGTAATAAGAATAAATACAGCTTAGCATTTGCAGTTCCCAACCAACAGTTCATTCCATAATCCACTAGGAACACTTCAGTTTTGTCCAAGGTGACACAGATTGCGACAAATACGGCAGGAGTTAGCCACAGGAATGCCGAATATTTGATAAACCTTCGCCACGATGTATTGGCAGTTCTCCCAACGAAAGGTTGTGACAGAACGTGACATGTGTGATACGAAATGATGGACATGGCCAAAAAGGATGATTGTAAAAGATAGTGTTCCAGTATTCCTAAGACTTCGCAAACTATTGTTCCTTGAAAATCAGCGGTACCTATCAACCATATTACTTGTGACAAACACATTGAGAAACTCAAGTTCATTAAATTCAATCCTGAAACGGCTCTTAATTCTTTAAATAATCCATAGGTGATCAAAAGTAAAATGTGGCAAAGCGTTGAAACACTGAAACCAATTATTGTCAGAATTCGTAGTCCATAACTTGTCGTGCTTCCACTGTATTTCGTTTCAGTTTTTCTGAAAGTTATTTTAAACGGCAAACAAACAGAAATTGTCGAGTTCCACGAGTTTTGAGTTGTATTAGAGACGTTCCTTTCGTTTAGCTTTTCACTCATTAGATACTCTCCAAATTTAAAAGCACTATTCGTCGCTTTGTGATAAACTGTCAAATTAGGAAAGATCACGTATTCGTCAGGACTTAATGGCACGTACGCGCCTCCTTTGCAATCTGAAAGAATCAGTTTACGACATAATGTAATATTTCCGTCATTTTCTTCAACTAAAGTATAATCGTCAAGCAGAAGTACTTCCCTCGTTTTATTAACAACGAGGCTTCCATTTTCCCGATCAATTTTGTATTCCGGTGATTGAAACGTCTTTTTACCGTAGCACGAAAGTTGTTTTGAAATCATGTTCACCACAGAGAAGCTGTATTCTTCCCAAACTACTGTAAAATTTCCTGTAAAATTTAAAAGTCCAAAGAACGCAGTGTTCCCACGGGTGATATTAAAGTCGCTCTTGTGTTGGTTTGCCATTAGTAAGCTTTGGAATGGCGTCAATGTTAAATGAAAGGTTGCAACGAAGTAATCATTCGCTCTGTATTGCTGATGGAATGTAATTGTTGAAATTTGATTGAGCAGAAGCGAAAATTGAGAGGCTATCGCGAGGGATAATGCTGATTTGAAATCATCGTCGAGCTTCGAACTTATTTCTCTGCTGTCATTACGCTGTTTTAACCATAACAATATCAAAAACTCGTTGGTTAGTTGTCCACTTGAAGAAATAATATACCCCTCGCGACAGAACTTTAGGGTAGTGTCATAAACCGTTCCATCGGGACATGACTTGGAGATTACAGCAGTTTTTGGGCCACCAGCGTTTCGTAACTTAAAAACAATCGAAAATCCTTCTGACACTCTGGGGCCGCATGCCGCTGCTGTTCCCCATCCGGCGAGGTTAGAATACCCATTACAAGTCGCGCATTCGGTGTTCTTAAAGTAGACAAAGTTAGATCTAGTTACAACTTCAACCGGGCCTTCAATACAAGCCTTGTAAAAGGTATCGTTTGTTGAACTACAGCTGTCTATATAATTTCTACCATAACAATATCTTCGAAGTTGTCCCTCTCCGGGTAATACGTGATCAATATGTCCCCCATTCGCCAAGATAAACTTCAGCCGTGAATCCAAGTCAAACTCCTCGGGGGGTACAACGTATGCAGTAACTCTAATGTCCCATGCGGTATAATTTTCCACCCCATTACACAAAGCGCAGTGTTTATTCCGGTACATGAGGGAATTCGCTCCCACTATCGGAATATAGTCCTCCACGGGGTAGGAGAATTCCGATGGGGCATTTTCACATTTTCCTCTCAGCTTGTCGAAGCTGGTGTTTGCAGGGCATTTAGAAATCATCCAAAATCCAGTCGGTCCTAGGATATGACAGTGCGGCGCAGAAGGCGCCCCAAACACTTCGATACATTTCCACGTCGAAGCCGACTGTTTAGTTTCCTTCGATTCCTGTCGCCCGCATTTCGAAACGTAATCCCAACAACAATCTGAAAATATCTCAAAACAAGCGTGGTCGTAGAAGCATTTATTATCCTTAAGTGAAAAATCCATCTTATTCCCGGTGCATCCTTGATAATTCGAAGTGCGACGCACTCTTTCGTGGTTCAACCATACCGATTTTTCTGTACGTTTGAATGTGCTAATTGACTCACTTGCTTGAGTTGACCCAAGGTAAATGAATATATATGTAAGCCTGAGAAGTAAGAGAAGATAGGACAACATGACTTCTGGTAAATCCATTTCGCTTTCTTGGCTAAGATTTTATGCTGAATGCACCGCAATATATATATTTAAATGAGCACAGTCAACAAAATTTTTATTTTCTTAAACGAAAATGCTCTTAAAACTGTATAATAAGTTGTTCTGAAGATTTTTTGTTCCCATGCTTAGTTCTTGAGATACTTCATTTTGTTTGTAACCATGTGACGTCATTTACTCAATTACATATATAATGAGATATCAGTAATTGTTGTGTATCTTTGCTATTTTTTATCAAAATCATTCGAAAGATGCGGCGCGTTTGTTAATTTAACCTACATCATTAAGCATACTGTTTTTTTTAAACAAATCCATCAAAAATAGCAAAGATACACAACAATTACTGATATCTCATTATATATGTAATTGTACTAATGACGTCACATGGTTACAAACTAAAGGAAATATCTCAAGAACTATAAGCGTGGGAACAAAAATCTTCAAAACAAGTTATTATACAGTTTTAAGAGCATTTTCGTTTAAGAAAATAAAAATTTTGGTAAAAGTGCCCCTTTAATTAAACTAAGCTGAAGAGCCTTGGTCTTCTGTGGCTGAATTCCATGATGTTTAGCAATTCTCGATTCACGAAGTTTTAAACCCTTAGTTTTCTTCGTTCCGTTCTATAACAATCACAGCCATGACATCAAATGTTGCCCTTTAATAGTAGCTTAAAATTTCTTGATTTGTTCGGCGTGATAGGGGTAAAATAGAAAACCATCAACAGATTGTTCAGTCTTTCCGGTTCTGCCATCACGAAATCCTTCATCTGCCATCATTTTCGACATTTCCGCTTCCTGAAAATATTGACATATCACGACATGATGTTTGTGATATTACTCTGAGTGTGTATCCACAGTATACTCTGAGTGTGTATGCCAGGCCATGGTGGGAATCGAACCTACAACCTTTGGAATACTAGTCCAATGCTCTGCCAACTGAGCTAAGCGGTCAGGTCGGTTCGAGTATGTGATATTTCGGAACTGAGTCTAGTTCCTTCGACATCAATGTAATCTAATAATCATGATTTTTTGTGTTGGCGTTTTGTACTCAGGTGAATGTGATGTTTGTGATGTTACTCTGAGTGTGCATCCACACCGGACTAGCTTGAAAAATATGCCTGGCCACAGTGCGAATCGAACTTACGACCTTTGGAATACTAGCCTAATGCTGTGCCAACTGAGCTACGCGGTCAGGTCGGTTCGAGTATGTGATATTTCTGAACTGAGTCTAGTTCCTTCGATGTCAACACAGAAAATCATGATTACTAGATTACATTGATGTCGAAGGAACTAGACTCAGTTCCGAAATATCACATACTCGAACCGACCTGACCGCGTAGCTCAGTTGGGCTAGTATTCCAAAGGTCGTAGGTTCGATTCCCACCGTAGCTAGGCATATTCTTCAAGCTTGTCCGGTGTGGATATACACACTCAGAATAACACCACATACAAACATCATATTCACCTGAGTACACGACACCAACACAAAAAATCACAACTCGATCGACATATCCCAGATATCATATTGCATCAGTGCAATATGATTTCTCTTTTTCATATCTTCGGTTCGGTGAAACCTACAAAAACAAAAGTACCACCATTCGATTCAGTGTAACAATATGTCCTAGTTCCTAACAATAGTTGAATGAATGAATGATTGATAATAATAAAATGTTATTAGAAAAATATGCAAGTTGATAAAACCCCCCAATAATTTTGAACAAAAAATGGTAAGGAAGCCCAAATAGAAACCAAGAAGCTTATACAAATTTGGGCTACTTCATGTTATGTTGTATTAAATACAAATGTTACAAAAAAAGCATCACGTGACGTATTTAAAATAAATAAATTATTGAGATTATATGCAGTGAGAAAAGAGAAACAATTTTAACATATACTGAAATCTAAATACAGATGAAGAGTTACGTATATCGGGATTCAACGTATTAAAGAATTTAAAACCCTGAAAATTGACCGAAACTGACGAATATTTGTCCTACATTGGAGGGCATAAAAAGTTTTAGCACTTTCGTGCATTGTAATTATGAATCTGACCAACGTTCCATTTTTAGTCAATGTCAAATTTAAAGCGAAGCCTTTGAGAGTCAAGCGGGATCGTATATTATCAAATTACGCAATATTACTTGAATAAATATATTAAGCATACCTATCGTCTTCGTAATGGTCTTGTTCGAATCAAAATCCCAATATTTATAGTGCTATTTTCGAGCATGTATCTTCAAATTTGCAACTTTTATTACGGTATAGCGCGTGGCAATATTTACATACTTTAGAAAATGAATTTAAAAGAGCCCTGTGAACCCATTACCGTTTGTTATGCCCTTGTATTTACGACGGTAAAACTCTTACTGTGAGGTTGTCGACGTTTGGTGAAGGACGAGCAAATTGAGAGAGACACATGCACACTTCAAAAACTATTACCAATTTACTTCTGCTTGCAGCCCTAAATATTTGACGCCGTAGATACTTGAGCTATCGACTTATTTAGGACGACGTCCTAGTCCCAGTCCTCTGCTTAGCCCTGACGTCCTAGCTGGCTTCGACGTCGTAGATCTTAAGCTATCTAACAACCTCGTACCCAGGGTCTTTCCTCTTATCGAGAAAATCCAAGGTAGTTAATTAGAAATCTGCAAGATTCTAGCAGATCACGTGACCAGCGTCCACCAGAATCTTTTCCCGTCGCCAAGAGGAAAGACCCTGGGTACGAGGTTGGCGAGTAAACTGCCCGAACGCAGAACAGCTAAAACCTAGTATTTTGAAAAATTCTACTCGCCGTATTCAAACGAAACTTTCTACATGAAAGCGCTTGAATAGTGAGTTGAATGCTAAGAGTATTTTCCTCATATTGACTTACGGCGAATTCTGAATGTGTCGCCAAAAGCGAGTAAATGCATGACTTTTTTGGTTTGTGCAATGTTTTGACGGCATTTGACCCCCCCCCGTTCAAAAGGTTATTTTGTGGGGATTTCAATAGTGCTTTTCGTTGAATAAATACTCGCTGAGTTATTTACATTAGTTATTATTAGCATGACAAAATTACTGGATGCTGATTGGTTGAGAGGAGTACAATTATTATTTCATTAATTGTACTGCAGTACCACCCCTTGTAGAATCCGACATATTTATAACCTATTTTATACCTATTTTTTCTCTATTTAGCCCTATTTTTTCCGTATTTTTTCAAAAATATGACTATTTTATTACTATTTATCAAATTTCATAAAATAGGATATGACTATTTACACTCTATTTAAAATATATGTTATTTATATTTTTCAAAAAAATAGCTTTTAAATAGGTATTCAAATCCTATTTGAAAGAGTATTTGACGGAATCTCTCTATAAAATAGCTTTTAAATAGCTATTTAATTCCTATTGATGACAAACGAGTCAGTTAAAATAGTTTTAAATAGCTATTTTTAAACTATTTTTGCTTATCTTTTTGGAGCCATTCTTAACACATTTATTAAATAGCAAAATAAATAGATCTTAACTAGCTATTTAATTCCTATTCATAGAAAGTTGTGGCAAACTTTGTTCCAAATAGCTATTAAATAGCTATTTTTAAACTATGTTTCCTTTAATTTTTGGAGCTATTATTGAGTATTGTTAAAATAGTTATTAAATAGGAAAATAAATAGATCTTAAATAGCTATTTGATTCCTATTCATAGAAAGTTGTGGCGAAATTTCTTCAAATGGCTATTAAATAGCTATCTTTAAACTATGTTTACTTTTATTTTTAGAGCTATTGTTAAAATAGCTGATAAATAGCAAAATAATTCGATCTTAAAAAGCTAGTTATTTCCTATTCATAGAAAGGGGTTGTGAGAATTGAGGAAGGGTAAATGTATTTATTTAACTGGTCAAAAATTACCAGTTTGAGCTGCCTCGTCCCCAGGCGCTAATAAAAAAATTTCATGCGAGTCACTATATGAAAGGTTTACATGAAGTAGTGCGTCACATTCTAGGCGCGCAAAGGGGAGTGGGATAACCCCTGCGCTTGTTCATCGCGATGCACTACTTCATGTAAATCTTTCATATAGTGACTCGTATGAAATTTTTAATTAGCGCCTGGGGACGAGGCAGCAATTTTTTTATGAGTTCATTGAAATTATATTTACAAAAATATTTATAGTCTTTGTGGAGGTAGGTATTTTGTCTCTTGACAAAACACCACCAAAAATTATCACGAAGAGCGCGGTTTTGACAGACTCACAGACTGGTGCCTAATTTTCCAACAGCGTGCGCAAAGCTTTCTGGGATAGTGTCACAATTCACACCACCATATTTAAGGTTACATTATATGATGAAACTCTGATTTTGTCCAAAAAATAATTTTTATATAGCCATATTAAGTAATGATATATCTCTCAATTCCTGCAACTTTTTTAAGAATATGTTAAAAAGCCACCGAGATATAGGGGAAAAGGCTATGACCACTGAATAGCGTGCGCGAAACTTGTAATTATGATTGAACTTTGCTGGCGTCAAATATCAAGGTGTGAAATTCACTAAAGTATAAGCCGTTTGTTATTGTTCGGAGGCATTTTTCATTGCGGCAACATTAGAAAGCTTATAATATAGTATTTACAGAATCTCTCGAAGTTCAAGCTATGTGCTATGACGGCTTCGGTGACTTTTCTACTGCCTTTGCGTTTTGTAGTCTATAGACTATAATTCTATAAAGATAAATGTGATAAACACCTTGCCAAAAATATTAAAGTTTGGTTGTTTGTGATTGGTTAACCGCACGAGGTCACAAGTGGATTAACATTGGGGGCGGAGAAAATGACAGAAAGGGTGCAAACCTCGTCAAATCTTAAATCGTCGTTTGAAGAGAAAGCAAAATCAGTGGCGTATCTAGCGAAATTTGACTAGTCCTGCTCTAAGACCCACCCATTCTAGGGGGGTCCGGGGGTATGCTCCCCCGGGAAATTTTGAATTTTAGAAATCTGGAATGGCCATTTCCTGCGATTTCACCTACCTCCTCCGCAGGCCTTTCGATGCGGGCGGGAATAATTTGCGGGCGTGAAATTTGAGATCAGGGAAGGCGACGAAAGGCCTGCTGAATAGTGATGGGCGATACCAGGATTTTTAATTCGATACCGATACCGATACTTTTAAGATCGGTATCGGTCGATACCGATACCTATTTCGATACCAAAATAAGCACAAAATTTCAATTTTCGATACCGGAAGTGAGTACTTAAATTGCCAGTATCGGCTACTTTCGATACCTGCCAGTCAGTGGAAAAACATTTTACATTACTGTGCATGCAACCTAAATAAAGCTATAAGAAAACCAAAAGCCCAAAACGTAATAAATATATTCTACACATGACTTGGTGCACCACATTTTGAATATTAAGAGACTTAAAAGTTATTTTAGTGGTTCATTAAGTCTTATTCAACCAAGTACTAAATTAAACAAGTCGTCTAAAAAGGGGTGCAAGTATCGAACGATACCACGTCAGTAATCGATACCGATACCGCCGTTTGTGGTATCGCTGGTATCGAATACTGAGTACTCGGTATCGCCCATCACTATCGTTTAAACGTTTGGCTGCGCTGCTTTATATTTTGAGAAGAAAGCGACACCGTTCGATTCAGCGTAAGAAATTGTACTTACGGATGTCAAGTGTATTACTAAACACCCGTATTCTAGCGATTTATGGCCTTTGAAAATCAAGCGAAATTGTATTGTTGTCATGTTGACTAATCGCTCGCAGTACGTATACTATTGTTGAGAAATCACTCGCGCTACGTTTGTCCTTGTATTTGTAATGCCTAATGGCGTAATAAGGATAAAAATACCACCGTTCGATTCAGCGTAAGAAATTGTACTCACGGATGTCAAATGTATTACTAAACAGCAGTATTCTAGGCTTCTAGCGATTTATGGCCTTTGAAAATCAAGCGAAATTCGAGGCGAATTGAGAAATCGCTCGCAGAACGTTTGATCCTTGTCTACCTTGATAACTTTGGTATCATTGGTTTTCTCTTTTTCGGCCGTATAACAGTGGATTCGTCTCACTTCTCTCTTCATTTTGATAGTATTTTGAGCCCAAAAATATTTTATTTTGAACGTTTTAAAGCGCAGTTTAATCCTAGCGTATACGACCAAGTGGCGGCTGACAGTCTCGAACGAGGTCTTGAAGAAATAGAATGTAGCGTTCTAAATATAACTTTACTTGTAGGGCCTACCGCATTTTAGTACTGTGTTATTAAGCCTTTCGCGCCGGTATTCGACTTTTCCGCTTACCTCGGGGAAAACTTTAGATCTTAATTGAAATAGCTGCATGTACTGACTGTTAGTGATGGGCGATACTGAGTACTCGGTATTCGATACCAGCGATACCACAAACAGCGGTATCGGTATCGATTACTGACGTGGTATCGTTCGATACTTGCACCCTTTTTTAAACGACTTGTTTAATTTCACTTCTTGGTTGAATAAGACTTAATGAACCACTAAAATAAGTCTTAATATTCCAAATGTGGTGCGCCAAGTCATGTATAGAAAATATTTATTACGTTTTAAGCTTTTGGTTTACATATAGCTTTATTTAGGTTACATATACAGTAATGTAAAATGTTTTTCCGCTGACCGGCAGATATCGAAAGTAGCCGATTCTAGCAATTTAAGTACTCACTTTCGGTATCGAAAATTGAAATTTTGTATTCATTTTGGTATCGAAATAGGTATCGGTATCGGCCGATACCGATCTTAAAAGTATCGGTATCGGTATCGAATTAAAAATCCTGGTATCGCCCATCACTATGTACTGTATGTATCATGTACACTCGTGCTCCGTTGACCGCGCGTAAGAAGGGCTCTGGGTACGAGAATGTCATGTACAGTAATATGCGTATTTGTATAGCCCTAGACTTGGTTCAAGTCCGTCTCTCAAGGGGTTGAAAATAGCGATGCATGCGAGCGGTCAAAAAAGGTGCGAAAATATGAAAGAAAACCTTCAACCAAGTCTAGTATAGCCCCAGCGAGTTAACGCTCCGTAGAGCGTCTTGTTCAATTTTAAGGTTGTCCACGAGCAAAGCGGAAAAGTCGAATACGAGCGCGAAAGGCTGCTGGGAATCGCTAAAAAATTAATGAATTTATTAGCGATCCCAGCATTCTTAATTCGCGATTGTATTCGACTTTTCCGCTTTGCTCGGGGACAACCTAATTGAAACAGCTGTATACCTGTTATAAAGAGTAGGAATATAGCAACTTGAAGTGGCTATAAATAGCTCTGGAACAAATTTATTCAAAATCCTTGCTATAGAAATAGTATGGATCTTCGTTGGAAATAGTACTAGTAGGGAAATCCAATTTTCATCACCTTTAATAATCGAACTCAATGTTGCTGTTTTAGGCATCTGCTCTTGTTTCATTATAACAGTATCCCTCTTTAAAGTATATCTACGCTGCACATTCGCTCTGAATCAGCATATTGTCATATATATTTGATTTCCTTCAACACTGATCAACAGAACTTCGAACGTCAAATCTCAACTCCCAGCCGCGACTTGTACACTCAACAAAACTTCAAGAAAACGTCCGACACGAATTTAAATAAAATCTCTATCCTGCTATTTATGTGAAAATGTTTTCGTTTGAAAAATAAACAACTGCACTTTATTATATAAACATAAATGTTATGTAGAGTTTTTGGCCACTGAGAAAAAGCGTATTTAAACACACGTAAAAAATACGATATTACATTTGTTATCATTTGTTGTAAAACGCATTGCCACGGACGTTTTATTGTTTTTCACTGAATTTTGTTTATTAAAAATACATGGGTGCTTGGAAATATCAGCTTTATTTCTCGTGCTCACTCGTGAGATATCATGTTCAACACTCGAAATAAATCTGGTATTTCCGCCTATATCTATAATGAACGAGGACATTTTTGCATATGTACTGTATTGTAATTGAAATCCCTCTTTTTCTGTTTTCTGTTTTCTTCGTCGTCGAGAAATCGAGTTTGCGTTAGCTCATCGCAGGCTCAGGGTTTCAACGAGTAAGCCAAAATGCCATCGATTTCCCTCGGTTCCGTGATTTATATACTGTAGTAACAAGCTCGTATTTATGTAAGTAATGGCCGGCTCATGCCATGCTTGTGGTACATTTTTCGTTTATTAGCCCATACACTTGTACGCACGCGCACAATTCCGAACTCCAAGGATAGAGTGCTCCAGTGACATATTCAGTTCAGTTTCAAAATGGGGGTTTTTCACTAATCGATCTAATATATATTTCACACAGTTTCGTTGAATATTCAAATAATTGTGCCGGTTTCCTATGGAAAATACGTTGTATTGCACTCTACAGTGTGTATCAAAATAATTCGAATCCAAATTTGGCGTGTAATAACGCAGAATATATTTGACAAATTCGGTTGGTTTTTACACCATTGTTAAGTTCATTTATTTACCTTTCAAATGACATGTTGTACGCGTCATTTAGTTGGAAAATGAAGGAGTATTGCTTTGTCAAAAAAAGTCCATAAAAATCACAATTTTCCGCCGATGGGAATTGGACATTTTTTCTTTCAAAGTTAGTCCCACAAGGCTTTGAAATGCTAATCATCACTGAAAACTTAAATGCAAATTTAACGCGAATTTCTTCCCGTTCAACATGTTGAAGGCATAGGAGCTTAAATCTCTTTAAATGAACACGAATTTATGTAAATTTTGCTACATAACAGTTTGTTGATTAATTAAATTTGCATTATCTTTTGTTTGTACGTCTCACTTCGAATTCCCATCGGCGGAAAAATTTGATTTCGAGCAACCAGTTTTAACACACGATTTCTTGGTCATTTTTGATCTTATTGATATAAGAACGATATAATCGGAAACCTAATAGGCTATTCTTTATTGCCATATAAAAATTATATGGTTTACTTTAGTATTTTATAAACAGCAGTCTGTCAAATTTGGATTCGAATTATTTTGATACACACTGTATTGTGTAACGGCTTGAAAACCCCAAAATTTGGACCCAGCGAATTTATACAATATAGTGGATTAAGTGGAATATAAACAAGGACAAGTTTAAGGTTTGACATGCAGTTTGACTTTTTAAATAACAAGTATAAATATACGTTGTAGACTCATAAACAAGCGTTGTGCACTTGTGTCATTTGCACAATTATAGATTTGCACCTAATTACATTAATTTGCACCAAATTACTTTCCATTTCATCATATATTACTACTGAAAATGTATTTTTTTATTGTTTTCAGCGAGGTGGCATTGCGTGCGGCGAAGCGCCAAAATCAGTGAAACGTGATACGGTTCAATTTGTTTTTGGAACAAGATCCAACTTCCCCCACTTTTTTAACTCTCAAATTGTTTATTAGATGTTTACTGGTTGGGGTTAGAGAAGGGCTTTGGGTTGGGTTTATCTTATAAATGGAAGCAAATTGGCGTAATTTTCAGAACTTTTTTATGAACTTTTTAGCACCTGAAACTAGCCATATAATGGCATTAAAAATCAAGGACTATATAATTTCTTCGCCATTATTGGCCCATCATTATTTACGGAACCTTGATAGTTGATGATCATAGTTACAGTGGGCCTGGCTTATCAGGTTGAGTTGCCCGTAGCCGGAGGGTACGCCTGAGCCGGCGTCTTGGTATATTACGGTTGATAGTTGCTGATCATGGTTGTATTTATTGGTTGTATTTATGTGGTCCAGACCTCCTGTATCCCTATCTACTTCTCTACTACACATTACACCTTACCACGAAAGTTGCCATTTTCAGGCCAGTGTGAATGCCTCAGCAGGCGTCTTGTTTATTTAGATAAAACATTGATAAACTTGCAATGTAAAATACAAAATAATAATATCACATTGACGTCATTATGCGGTAGTTTACATAACAAACGAGCTAAATATAGAAGGATATTTTTTAACTAAAGATAAACTGTGGATATTTATTTTACTATGGGATAAGTTCGACTCATATTGTACGGAATTTATTGTAGTAATTAAACACTACACAAAAAGAAAGTTCCCCCCTAAATATATCCTAAATATAAATTCTAAATAAATGATTATCTGATAATCAAACCCAGCACTAATTGGACCTATGGTAGTTTGCTTTGTGCTGTGTGAAGAATGGGTCATTCACGCTTTAAAGAAAAACTTAGCCTTAATTGAATACAAAAATACTCAATTCCAAAATTAACAAGAATAACTTTATTTAAATTTCACAACGACAGTAATAATGTTTCATCAATGATTTAATAATGGGTGTAACCACCACGCTTCTCGGTCACCTCAAGGCATCGTCTGCTCACCCGCCGTTGAGATATAGCCACCCATTCCTCGTGCAACAATTGAGCCAAGCAGCTAGAGTGCTGTATTCATCGAACCGAGACCGACATCGACATCGAACCGATTGCTTTTGGTGGTCCCAAAAAACCTCAATTGGGTTGAGATCTCGCGAGTTTCCATGATCACATCATTCTCTTTCTGAGAAGATGATGCCTTGAAGTTATCGAGAAGTGTGGTGGTTACACCCATTATTAAATCATTGATGAAACAATTTACTGCTGTTGTGAAATTTAAATAAAGTGATTCTTGTTAATTTTGAAATTGGGTATTTTTGTATTCAATGGAGGCTAAATTATTCTTTAAAGCACGAATGGCCCCATTCTTCATACAGCATCAAACAAACCACCATAGGTCTAATTAATGCTAGGTTTGATTATCAGGTAATCATTTATCAAGAACTTATGATGGTATATTTAGGGGGGAACTTTCTTTTTGTGCGGTGCTTAGATACTTTTGGTAAGACATTTAATGACTCGGTAATGTTTTTTATAAAAATTCGGGTCTCAATGCTAATGGTATCTTTTGTAATACAGATGCTATGAGAGATTAATAATCAACAAAACCCGCTAATTTCAAACACAGGATAGGAAATTAGCGGAGTTTTAGGTTCGTACATGCAGTAGTTATAGTTGCCTTGTTGAAGCCATCGCCCATCGGATAACACAATTGGTCTTAACCTGAAAACTTACGATATATACTCATTCATGATTTTGCGCATCTTTAATACTCGATATATTTGTTGAAAAGATTTATGGATGGAAATTTCGAGTGGAAATTGTATACATTTATTAGACTAAACCTATAGCTACTCATGCAGTGATCAAACCTCACCCCGGGGTCTTCACGGTAATGTGTATGTATGTTGTTACTTGTTACCACGGATTTTCATGAAACTGGAGTGGGAGCAAAGTTTGGTAATATTTTCTCGATTTAGTTCATTTTGAACAAAGTTTAGCAATAAACGCTGAAAAAATCTGGTCTCACTGAAAATACTAAAATATTCAAAATGGCGGAAATACTCGAGTAAGATTTCCACACAATTTTCGCATAAGATTTATCAAATACAGGGTGTCCCCAAATTTCATGCTCCTGAGTCCTGGTAATTAAAAATTCAATTCAATTGTGTTTACGCACTCTTAATTGTGTTCAGCATAGTGCTCAGGCATTCAAATTATAACAATACTCATGCGATAGGATAATTTCTATAGTGTCACTTTTTCTACACCCTGTGTAAAGTAGAATTCCAAATTCCGCAATGTAATCCGACTGCAAAATGCCAAACTGAAGTATTTTGGGATGAATTATTAGCTATTAATATTTGGCATTTTGACAGAGTATAGAGTATTTAGTTACTAAATGTCCTGTTGTTGCGAATTAATTTAGTCAATTGCTTAAAATTAAGCTTCCTGTAGTGAAAGACAACCTGTGGGAATTGTAACAAAGCAATCGAACGTATATGAAAAGTCAACGTTTTTACACAATAATCGTTCTGTGCATGATAACTAATAAGAAATTCCCAAAGTTACGAAGGGCCTTCGCTCGAAACATCGAAATTCTCCTTACATTTTTCAGGTAGTTGCATCCCTACCAACGAAAGCTTGTTCATACGTATTATTGGCACTACCTACACCGGCACAGACAGTTCAAGAATATATCAAAGAAAACTACACCCTTTTATACAAAATGCTCACATTGATTGAATTATTAAATATAACGGGCATATTGATATATTATATATATGCTAGAATACAGTTATATTCTTATAAATTCCAAGCATGTTTTTATTCGTTTGTACAAGTATTCAACAGAACGTTTTATCAGCAGGATTCAATTGAACCCAATTCTGTATTTGAACTCCTTAAAGGTATATATAGAAAATTTGTTTTGTTTATTCATGAGAAGTCATTATTAATCTGGGCACATCGGCGGGACGTTTTCGGGGTAGCAAAGCTATGCCTATGGCAGTATAAAAAAATTAAGGAATAATATATTAAGATCAATAATACATAAATTAAGAAGGCCGGTTGGATCAAAACGTTGAAGATAACAACATAACATGTTTTTACATAGGTTAGGACAATCATAATGTATGTCGTGTGCTATATACGACAGATGATTTTTCCTGCACACGATGATTTTAACACAACGACAACCTAATCTTTACATGCAGTTATATTCAAATATCCTGGCTTATTTCCTCTCCCCCAACGAAACTGTATTTTCCGAGAATGCGAGAGTATTATTGTTGAGGTTTCTCCCGAGGCCGAGTGACATTGAGAACATGAGCGTACGGGAGGAAAAAAAAAATTAGGGGCGTTGATGGAAATAGCCCGACAAATACAAACTTCTGTCGGCGAAAGAGGGGGAAACACATCAGTTGAGTCTTAAGACATTTTGGCAACGTTACATATTTCTTTAAAACATGATTAGGGTGCCCAAGCCCCTCCCTCGTACACCGATGATTAAGAAGGAGGATATGAGCACAAGTCTATAAAGGCCATTTTCCATTTCGGTTGCTTTGCTCGCTCAGGCGGAGGGACAATTTTAATCACGTGAAAAATCAGTCGCGCGGGCACGCCAAGAAAGTTGAATGTAGTTCGCTTCATGGCATGTCCGCGAGCATTCTGGCGGACAAAAAATGCACAGGATAGACAACTACAGAGAAAGTTGAGTAATGTTCGCTCCACCCACTCGGGCAAAGCGATTGCAATGGAAAATTGCCTTAATTCTTTGCTGCAATGAAGTATGAGATGATTTTCACTTTCGCTTTGACGAGGAAAATCGTTTGCCATCATTTAGAACTGATCACGTTGGTAAATAATGCCAAGGCCAAAATGTCGCTATTGTTCGGAGTTTGTAATTGTATATTTCGTCTTATATTCATTATCGGTGGGCGACCGTTGGTGTTGTTTACAATGCTAATTAACCTTTAATATATTAAACGATTACCGATTAATTACTCTTGTGATCATACTTAGTATTTGCAATTAGTTTTCGATGATTTGATAAAGATTATATCCATAGTTCTCAAATCATTAGTTGGTTTCACGTAACAACATAGACAAAGAATGTGTGACAAAGAAACACGAGGTCGCAATACCCAGTTGTTTTGCTATGATTGTTTGCGACTGTTTGGATATACCAGGGCAACATGCATGAGCTTATTAAGGTATTGTACAAGTAAACTACTTCACACCTGAAATTCACACCTCAAATGAAAGTATAAGACATTGAATGTTTATAATTACCTTCATACATCTGCGCGTACTGCGGGAAGCCAGTAGCTCTCAACCAATAGCAAGCCTCGAGTGCTTCTAGCTCTGAAAGAAAGAACACAATACATCAAAACTAAGCAAGAGAACTCCTCTCAAACTTGTAATTCAAAGTTGACAAATCTTGCAGCTTTCCTTTAATTTGAAGGATCTACACTGTGGCGCACTTGCGGTTATACCTCCTATCGATAACCCGCTTTGATGTCATTGTGCAACTCTAGAAGGTTTTGTTGGCTTGACGACAGCATAATTGTTTATATATTTACGCACGTGTTTGTTCAGATTTGTTCACTGTTTACTCAAATTCTGTTTGTTTAACTTTTTTGCAGCTTTTAGTGCAAAATGGGAAGAACAAAGTATTAAATTCATCTGCGGAATGCCCATTATATACAATTAAACATGACACCAAATAAAGAGGTGATAATAGAAATAGAGTTAACTATACATGGTACAACTACTACAACAGAGAATATAAATTTATAGTTAGTAATTCTGCCAGAAAGGAAACAGTGCGCAGTTCTATACTTGCATTTTACTTGCATCGTTTTGCAAAAACAGTTATAGGATATATATGCATTAATTGCGGGACTACATGCAATGTCTTGCAAATGATTTCAATTTTGCTTGTTGAGCGCTCATACAGTATAAAATAAACAAAAATATAATCTTGGCGTTTGCGGCAACCAAATTATTTTAAAATACTATTTCCATTTTTAATGTTTTTTATTCTATTTTATAAAGTTTAAAGTTGGACCAGCGGAAGTAATCCAACAGAACGCACACGGTGAATGTGCTATAGATTTGCGTCCATAATATACCATTATGCCTTTCCCATGCTAAATGCATACCGGGTGTAAAACGTCTACTAAAATAAACATGATAATATGATTTTGAAATATTGGCATTATATAGTGCACGAATCAACTAGGCCGTACTTCTATGTGCATAACAAAGAAAACTTTATATACAGCGATCCAGCCATCCATTGCAATCATCCCGCTCCCGATATCTCGTCCTCAGTCACTTTATGTGAATTCATGGGGGAGGAGCTTCACAAGACTTTTTCCCCAATGACTGATCTATATATGCCACTGAGAGATGCGCCAAAAATAAGTCCTGTCCCTATAATAAAATCGCCAGCTACGCAGCCTAGCTCTGGTCGAAAGTCGTGGATTTTCCTCCAGTATCCCGATATCAGCACAGGGTGGATTAAGATAAACAGTTTTGATTACAAGCTATACGTATGATAGTACTCGATACATTCTCCGATGCGAAGTGAACTATAGTAGAGAATATCTTCGTTAGTAAGTGGCAGGAGTAGTCACGAGTCACGATGAGCAAGATTTTTGTAAATTTCTTTTTTGTAATTCTTTCTAAATAATCATATTCTGCATGCCTCACATTTACCTATCCCGGGTTCTTTCACCTCCGCATGGGTTATGACATCAAAGGTCTTTCAGAAAATAGCTTTTTCAATAATTTCAACATGAGAAAATTCTGGTTGAAAAGACCGCAGTTTATAAAAAAAAACACAAAAACAAATAATATAAATATCATTATATATTGCAGACTTCGGTGAGTGGAGCTTCCCGAATAAATATCATTGTTTATATAATATCAAATATAGTCATATATATAGAATTGGTGACGTGCTATACGTATTGAGGTTATACGCCACATTCCGCGGTTTTGTATGCATCAGAACGGCTGAATGTAAGCCAATGTGGCCTTGACCTATAAAAGAATTTGGAAAATTCTTTGACAACATTCCGTGACAACACATAGGCTACTTTTCAATGACTTGTAAACAAAGTTGAGAGTGTGCTGGTTGTCAAGGGAACAATATTGCAAGAATTTGGACTTTATAATCTTATTAATATTTTATACCAAAATTGTATTTTAGATCTAATTTATACATGATGACGTATACTTCACTAGGACTGAACCGGCAAAAGAAAACGTCTTTTGGCATGTAACAAGGCTGCAAGCCTGCAAGACAACACAGGATTTTAAAAATGACCTCACAATATCAGTTAAGCTAATGTTAGACTTGCCAAAAGTCAACTTCTCCAATTTTTTACCATAATTATCGCAAGCGAGCGACGAAGTACGTGCGAGAAGAGGCGAGCTCCGTTTTCCCCTCCCTCTGTTCCTCTACTAACCCCTCAAAAAGAAAACGGACTTTGCGAAAGTCTAGGCTAATGTATGACATGTATAAGATGTATAAGTTTTCACTAATCAGTACGACTTATCGAAATATGTATAATATTTCGAACGAAATAAATATAAGTAAATCTACCAGTAATGACATGCAACAACTATAGTCTATATACAGTACTATTCTGCCCAGTACCTCGGCGGGCACGGAGTTGCGAAAAGGTTTTATACTAACGTACAGTTTGGACCTATAAAATTTAATGAAAGCCATTTAAAGTCATTAGATATCAAGAAGTTGGGGAGTTATATTAAATTCGCCCATAAATTTAGGCGCATTTTGCCTGCATTACTAACATACTATATGGTGCGTGAATGTATAGGCACATTACACTTACTTTTAGATTTGCTCGCACCTATCGTCAAATCTGTGCAGGCCTTTGGCTTTATCGCGTACTATCCTCAGTGTATTTTAACAACCCAGCGACTAAACGCTCAGTATAGCGTCTTGTTAACCTTGGATCGAAAATAATTTTTTAAAAATGAAATAAACACTTGAGTCAAAATGAATTCTTTACGTTTCAAAATAACAAGAATATTTCTTCTTCAATCTTAAGTTCCTTGCTATTCACGCACTGGATGCCAAATGACAAACAAGAATATGGGGACTGTGGTGGTTGTCAAGTGAACAATACTTCGAGAAGCTTGACTTATTTAATTAATCCTTGAAATGTACGTCTCTATACATAATATCACTTAGTACTATATGGCGTTTAGAATTTAGATCCTTATACACGATGACGTATGGCCAAAAAAGCCGGCAATGTGACAAAGCTAGACAATAAAGCTTACCGCAAATATGACCTAAATGTCAATTACGCACATATATTAAACTATAAGACTTCGTTCAAGGTTATTTAGAAACATGCATACCACAGCGAAAACAAATCAACACTTTAACCACAAACACGAGATTTACAGGATGACAAAATGTGGGAATTTTATATCTATCTTACATGGGTTATGTACCACGGGGGTAATTTGATACTGAAGAAAAGTATAAGATATATAAAAGGGGTGGAAAAGAGTCTCGTGCAAAGAATAGAAGTCAAACATGACTGAAGGCAACAGTGCTTTGGAACTAACAGTTTTACTGCATGCATGCATTCTTGATTTTTACCCGATAAGACGGTTGGTTTAAAAAAAATTTTAATGTTGAGCGATGAAATTAGTTTCGAAAACGTAAAATTATAAGCTATAATATAACGGGTTAGGGAAAGGCACTAAACACTAAAAAAATGATGCAGCTAAAAATGTGCCCTATAATGTTTTGTGAAATGGTTAATTTCTTACATGTGAAATGTGAAACGGTTGGTTTTCTTCAACAATTTAGGAAATTTAGCATGGAAAATTTTATTGATAAATTTTATTGCCCCCTTATTTTATGCTTCCCGAATCACGTACGCCTATGTATATAGGATTTACTGGACAAGTTGTGTTAAATTCATGAAAATCTTGAATTATACATATAATGTTGCAGCATATGAGCCGGCATGCCATACGTTATGTGATATGATAACAACTGTATAACGTAAATTGACGTAGCTATACCTATACTATATAGCATAGCGTCATCTTTCAAGTTTCAATTCAATTATACTAATTTGTGGTCATCCTTCGTTAATTTAAAACCGTGTAATTTAATTTGGTATAAGTGCATGTAATTTAATTTAATTTAACACATTTGTTAAATTTTCATAGCGCCATAAAGACGAGGTCGAGCCTTATGCATAATAGGCCTACTATGTCATTCGGACGGAAAGAAAAATAAAATGTTTGTACATAAAAACATGAAATTCCGATGGGTTGCTGAGTGCTATAATCAACAGCTATCTGAAGGTTAACCAAACAATATAAACACGGAAATTCGCAAAGCCAAAGGACTCCTAAAATTCAGATATGCATGGTCGGTTCTGTATACTTTGACAGTTTGACTTTGTTTGTCTTACCCTTGCCCCAGGCTAAACTCTTTTGGCAGGAAAAACCGAAAAATAAAGTACATGGACCATGGGATCTGTTTAAACTCATGTTCTTTGCATTTAAAAATGTTGAAATATAAAGTATTAAAGTAATGTTTGACGCAATAAAATAAAAGAGTAAAACTATCTGTAAGACGCATTAATTTTAAAAACATTTTGCAGAAAAGGTTTTTAAGCCTGCATACATTTACTAGTCAATAAAATAATATTATTAGTGAAACATTATGTATAAAATTAGTTATTAGATTTCAAGTTTGATGTTAGGTAATATATAACCATCTATGACGTAACTCAAATTAATATACGGTATATACCGGTTGTACCGACCAAGCAATAAGAATCAACTTCTGCTGAAATTCAGAAGAAAACCGTGCAAGCAGCTCAAATAAATAGTATATTTGGTAAGGAGTTGAAACTTCTATTCGGTACAGTACAATACACGATACACATGCAGCACCTAGGTGCAAATATATTTCCCTATCAACACATATGTTTACAATTGAACATGTTGCACGTGTTTCAATCTCTGTGAATTTTGAGAGGCTTAAGTTGTCTTACAATTTCAACCATTCTCTCTGATTGTTGTATAGTGCACACCTATGTCCTTAGAGCTATGCATCACCGTTATAACTGTGCATGCACAGAGCAAAGTATATACTACGAAAGAAAAAGTGAACGACATGACCTTTTAATTTGCGGTAGGTTATTTCAAAATAATTTATTATGACAGCTATACAGGAAATTACATTGCGTTGGAGAGGCGTGTGTAAACTGAGATAAACGGAACGGGAAAACGCTAGAAAAGCAAACCTATAAATTTGGACAAAATTCTAATCAAATTTATGCAGCTAAAATAATGAATCACGCCCCTCTCCCGCGTTTACACTCTTCGCCTTATTTATATCCCGCTTTTTTAGAAGCGAAATAAGCACCCCACTTGTGCCCCTTTTAGGCTTTTACGTACACTTTTGTTCAGTATCGAAAACTCGAAGCTTGACGAAGAAGATGATCGATCTGATACAAATTTAGAGCAAAATATACTTAAAAGACCACATCTTACTTTAGTATTATATACTGCATGTATGTGGTTAGACATGTGCGTTTCATCTTACCAGTCAGTCAGGTCGATTGCACGTTACGTCACTACGACCATGTTGGTGGTATTTCAACAAAAGAATCTCTTTATCTTTTATTGATAAAGCCACCAACATGACCGCCGTTTTATTGTCTTTTAATTCTCAAGAGATCGCATGCAATTTACATAATGACTTTACTACATGAACACTGCAGGTTTTCTCCGCGTACTTGTCCTCCTGTATAGAGATTGCTTGAGTATCTGGGCCTGCATGATAGTCAGGATAGTACATACTACGATACTACATATATAGTAACACTGAGAGGACAGTTTATTTTTAACTAAACTGATTAAATGGGTTATAACTATAAGCAGCGTGTTTTTGAATGTGAAACAGCTAGATCAATTTGGCCCACTCTTGCCAACTAAAAACGCACTTTGGCCATAGGCAAGTCCAAGGGGTACGGCTGTTTCCGCACAAAATTTGGCAGAACTTAAATTGTTTTCCGTGTGATGTTATTTGATACCAAACTACACAAAAACATCAACATCCATCAATCATTTGTCTGATTTTAACCGTTTCTATAACATTAATATGGACTGCAGGAGTAGAGATTAAGGTCATACAAACCACCCACTACACCGTCAACAAGCTTTTTTGCCCCTCAGACAGTTCAGAATGTCATATAATTTAGCATTTAAATTGTAATAGATACTGTATCAATGTAATCCAAGCTAATTCTGCTGGCGAAATATAGTCTATGGCAGTATAGAGCTTATGGCAAACCTCATCAAATCAACCGTTTTGGCTATATATTCATTATTCTTAATTAATCACATGTATCAATATGTAAGCATATGGAAATACATTTTCTATAATATAGAAATTGGTAGGCCTATAGCCAAAATAACAATCGAAATATCTCGAATTTCCTGTGATGAAACACAATCTCCGAATTCACATAAGAATCGTTGCTAGACAATAATCGAATTGAAAGTTTATAGCAGGTGAAAATACTTCTTATGGATCTCACTGGCTGTGTATAATTGGATTGTGAATGGGAAATCCAAAATCTCGCATATAATATATACGATACAAAATCATTCTATGCATGCTTAAATGGTTTTATCGCGCCCATTTTATACGCAAAACCTACCTCATAATACTTATCTTTACTGTATGTTTATGGTTTGCATAGAGTGTTTGATTCTATAGCCTTTAATGCAGCAATGAAGAACAGACGAGTAGCAAATAGTCACTGAGCATTGCCAACGCTTTCATGCGTAAATTATGAAACCCCCAATGTTGTTTCATTGTCTTAGATTACCATCAAACAACACAACTGCCATACAAAATACAATGACATGGACAATATTTGACGATGGTGCATTGTTTTACGTAACATTCAACATACATTCAATGTGGGAAAAATAACAGGCAATCTGTAAACACAGTCTAGTTCTATAAACTTCGCTGTAAACCGGAGATGATTAGCAGAGTATGGAGTTTAGCCAGTAAAATAAAGAATGTTAATACTAACTTGGCATTTAAAAACGTGCAGTAACATGCAATAATTGAAGAAAAACGATAGAAATAAGTGGAGATTTTGCTTATTTAATAGTAGCTAAAATTCATCCGTGTTTTTGTGGGCAAACTGCAAAATCTGGAAACTGCATAAGCTGTACAATATACTGTCGAACTTGCGATAAACTACAAATTAATATGTAAACTACATCTGGTCAGATTTGAAAATAAAGCTGGCTATAAGGTGGTAAATTTCAAATGATTCAAAGTTGATTGTGTTATAACCCTTCAATTTAGGTATGTGCCTCAAGGATTTAATACAAGTTTAAATTATATATATATATATATATATATATATATATATATATATATATATATATTTTTTTTTTAACTGACAATTTGGGTGCATATAAGCAACTGAGGTCATGTATGTAGTAAATTAAAGCCCTCTCAGTATATATACAAACTCCGCCGCTGTGGAGTACTGGAGTTTGCCAGTGAGTGGAGATGTCTGGTTTGCGCTACAATTCATCTGTCAACAATACGTGATAAAGAAAATATTCACAAACGAAAATACATAACACACTATGTACAGAAGACAGAGAATATGAAAACCCAATTTTCACCCACTTGCATGTCCCATAGCTAGTTATAGCCTACATTTGAAGAAAGGTGATTTAGTCCACCAGGCTAATAAACAACTTCACACTATATATACAATTACAACTACTTGAGCGAGCGCTTGTTTCTTTGTTGATAGGTAACTTCATAATAAGGAATGCGTATAAATGTTCTTTGCTGACACGGCTATGACCCTAACAACACCGAAAGCTTTGGAACATGCTTTGCGCGTGTATTCTAACATTTAATACAGCTATCTCTTTCATTTATATCACAACAACCACATGCATGTACACGATATCGTATCAGTAGAATAACTTTGGAGATTAGAATTTTTTTGTTTAATCCGTTGATGTGCGGCGGAGAGGTTAAGGCGATTGCACATTACACTTTATAAGCGGGTAAACACATGAGGTCAAGGGAAATTCTAATTTCTAAAGCCCATTCCTAGCGCTAAAAGTCAAAGCTGTACTCGTCCAAAGCGCATTTGTTATGAACTAAACATTTTCCATAAATACGAATAAACATTTTCCATATACGCGCTACGTTGCCGCGGGGAAACTAAACATTTAAATACATACAAGAAGATATTTATATTTGAACATCCAGACACAATAATAACCTTTTAAGTCAAAATATGGCAGCAACAACAATAGCCCAATATAGCAAAGTAATCGTATCAATATTTAAGGAACTCCGAACAGCATATTGTCGAAGCATGTTAAGTCAACTGAAATGGGTCTTAAGCCTTATAACATCAGGGAAGAAAACAAATCAAACCACATACTTTTGTAAATAAGATTGCATTGTAAAATATGGAGAACTGAGGACAAGAATATGATATGTAGCTCGCCATGCAATAGTCTTATAGGGATACGCGCTGCGCAGACGAGATGCGGAGATCGAACGCGCAAATTAGTTCAATGCATTGCAGCGTCTCAAGTTGACGCAAACAAAGCACGATTCGAGGTTATATTAATGCGCCAATGTTCGCATGCTGATAGGCTATATCATGATGAACAAACACGAAAACACAAGCCAAATCGTCGGGGGAAATATAAGCAGCATACTAACAGCCGATAACATTAATAATTCAAAATGTAAAGATGTTATTAACCTGAAAGACTTGGCTTCTTCATATTCCCCGGAAGAATCCGACGAAGCATCACGTTCTTGCCAAGTAAACAACGCAAATTAACAAAGCGCACCATGTCCTTTCTCCTCACGCATATCAAACTAACATCAACTGAGTTCAATTTTCTAAACTCCGCACAATTATATCGCCCTAACACACCGGACTACGGATGTTTGCTATCTGACAAAAGACAAGGCAAGTGTCCGTCGTTCAAGTAACATCATATCTCATAGATAAACAATTTGCACGCCGCACCCTGGGGCTAAGTACTCGAGTATGATATAAACTATATGCGCAGACTGGTAACACGATATTGTTTAACCGCAGTGTCGTAAACTCGTAAAGTCAAAAGAGAAGCGTGGATTAAATTAAGGTACCCGTGTCAAAACATTCATGTATAACATGCTAAAAAATAGACCAAATTCCATAAAACTCATTCCATTTAATTTTATTTAGGAAACGAAAATAATCGGTTTTTATGGTTACAATAACATAGCATTGGCTTGCGCGAGGCGTTGCACAATTAACAATTTAACAAATGGCGTGTAGATAACGTATTATTACACACACATATATATATATAGTATGCTGCGAACTTTTTTATACTTTAATCTTTACTAGGCACGTCGTGTCCGTCAACATCTAACAGTATATACGAGTGTATTAACAGTATCTCGATCGAACGGTGGGTTTCCAGTGAAACGCGGAATACAAACTTCGAACTTTTGCATACGATATTAGATATTAATATCTGAAGATACATGCAACTACCTACTTCATCCCTTTTAATTTTCAGGAATAGTTATATAATCTGCGGAAGTTCGCACGATTTTCTTAACAGAATAATCAGTATATATATAGCAGTATAAGCGCTCGTCAACATATGGATATGGAACTGTGTAGCCCAGGAGATTTTCTGGGAGTTAACTGTCTTCTTTTTGTTGTTTGGGTGCACAGTGTCAAAGTGCATGCGCGTTAATTTCATCTCTATGCATGGCCAGGCTAATTGTTCTTGCAGTTGAACTTTGAAACGATCTTATATCATAATCCACAGGCATCTCTAAAATCATCGAAAATTTCTACAGTATTGTGATAATATTTTTATATTAATACACATAGAAAAGTTGTGTTCCTTGGGTTACTGTTAAGCGGGGGAGGAAGGGCGGGTAGGGGGGGGGGGCTTGATTTACACAGTACAACTTTTGTAAGCAGATTGCTGTAAATCAGCCTTAATTAATTAAGAAAAAGTTAAATTTAAAGAGTAATAATAAACCGGAATGAAAACGTTTTGTTGTATACATCCTGCTATGTTGTACCCTGTGTTATGTTCAATAATATAAAATGACGTCAAACTGAAGAGGCTGAGAATCAACGAAGTTTTAAAATTTTTTAGTATATTTTAATTAATTAATTAGGTTTACAATTGGGTCGCGAAATATTCTCGCGAAATATGTCTGCTAGAAATGTTTTAAAATATAAAAAATATCGCATGCAACAATATTATAGAAATTTTAGATGTTTTTTAGAAATGCCTGCCGTGAAGGCTTATAAATAATCCGCCTTAATTGCATGTGGAGAAAGAACGCTTTAAATTTGAATTTACCAAAGTTTGAATCTGCCATGCATGTTTCCTCAGTTCCTCTGCAACATGAGGTAACTGAACGAGTTTATCCACTGTTTGTGCCGGAATTGAACTAAACGATTTAATCCACTGTTAATTTTAGAAATTTAATGTTCACAGGAAAAATACAGCAATCAAACATGAAATACAGCCGGTATATG